CTTTCTCTGCCAATGGTAGCCCTGCTGTCGGGTACCTGTTCGGGGAAGATGCCGTGTCCCTCTGCAGGGACATAGACGGAGACGGTATCCAGCGGCACGTCCCGGCCGCGCAGGCGCAGACGGCAGAAGATCGGCGGGTTGCGTCCCCGCGCGGCATGACGTCACCACGCCGGCACATGCGCAGTAGCTCGTCCTCAGCCTATATAAGGTGCTGCAGGACGCTCATTCAGTGCTGGGTGATCTTCAGCCAGCACTGGATGTTCCTTTGTGCTTGTTCCTGTCCCTGGTCTACTGCCCTGCCTTGCTTCTTCTTCGGGACGCAGAAGCGATCTGGCGTCAGGAGGTAAGTCGCAAGGATCGCTTCTGTTGTAAATCTGACAGTCGGCTCTACAAGTTTAAACAGAGTTTCGGCGGCAAAAGTCACCGGGAGTCTGTTTAAACAGCCCCGATGCTGGCGACGTACACTGTACGTCGTCAGTCACGAAGGGGTTAACAGTGTTCCAATATGAGAGAAAATATATCCTTTATAAAGGCTTTGTAGTATCTGCCCTCATTTACTCGATGATTCGCAGGCATTATAGAGACAGCCAAATTATCTGTATAAATATAAATAAATCAATATAAATATAAGAGCGAGAGAGTATTATAAATGTATCCATGTATACCACTGCGCTGTTCTCCATTGTATTTGTGGACTGTTAGTAGTACAGGATTGAATAAAAATCCAGAAGCAAAAGTGAATTCACTAATGTAACCCAAAAGGTTTATAAGCCAATTAAAATGGCGTGGATGCTGTGCAAGACTGGCTGTCAAAGTGACATCTAAGGATTCCTCATTCAGAAAAGCCTTGTCTTGTAACCGCAGCATCTGATTCTGAATAATCACAACAGAGCTACATTTTGCAACAGTTGGGCAAGCATTTTGTTTTCCATTTTCCATTCAGCCACATTAACTCTAGGCATTTAATTAGCTCGCTCTCTCATACATGCCGAATGCCTATTATCTGATGACAATTCATTTTTAACAAGGATGACAAACATTTCATTTCAGCCAGCTGAGGACAAATATATTAAGCAGAGCACATAATGCTACAGGTTATGAATATTAAATTAGCAAGTCAGACAACTAGCGTTTGCTGTAATCCATGCTTGACATATTCCTGTGCTGATAACGCAGGTAATGGCTACTAAAATAAACCAGGAAACTCGACTCTCACAAACATATTTTTTCTACAGGACCGATCCCTCTGTGCTGAGCATTGTTCACAGACAAGAGTGGGTCTATAAAGGTATAAAATAAAATAACATTTAACAAATATGTGAAAAATCATATCCTGCCTACTTGCATTGCATTTTACAGATATCCCTCAAAGGGAACCTTTGTCTATAAAATACGTATTATTGGATGGTAAAGCTAGTCGCTGATTTAATTACTCCAATATTTCACTGACCCAGAGCAAGCATGCAGTCAGTGAAGTCACTGCACCTTAAAGTGACAATAAACCCTCAGATTTTTTAACATAAACCAATACTGTAATGTGTGCCTTACTGTAATCCATGGTTGTTTCCTTTCTCTTTGCTGCTCTTCCTTTTAAATCCTCATGTCTTCTCATGCTTGGGGGGAACTTCCCTTTGCAGCTGAGTGCCTCTTCCTGTAGTGCTGGCTCAGGTTACAAACCTATACACAGACACCATGTATCCATTCCTGAGACAAGGCAGTCTGCTGCAAAACAGAAGTTCTGCCCAGCATGAGAACAGATACAGATTTAAAAGGAAGAGCAGCAAAGAGATGGGAAACAACCATGGATTACAGTAAGGCGCACATTACAGTATTGTTTTATGTTAAAAAATCTGAGGGTTTAATGTCACTTTAACCTTCATTCACACCTGAGCGTGACAATTTTCAGGTGATTTTGAAGCATTTTTTATGTGTTTTCAGGCGTCAAGTGTTTTTGTTTTGGCCAATAAAAACAGTATCATTAGGGAAATCATATGTTTTGATTGCCCCTTGTATCTGTTTCCTTATTTTCTGGGTGGTGTTGTGTTGTCTTGTGCTATCAGAGCTCCCAGTCTAGGAAAATGTCATGCCCAATTTCTTCCCAGGCCCTCTGCCACTTCATACAGCTCTTGTACTTGGCATTACTGGGTTTGTAGAGGTTCTTGTGGGCGTTTACCAGGCAGATGAAAGTCTACACAATTAGCATGGACACTCCTGAATCCTCCATTTTGCTCACAGGCCTGAGGTAGCTAGGAGGATGAAACCGGATGTTAGGTGCAAAAATGCGCAAATAACTCACCACAGCGCATGTGACAGTGTCCTAGCAACCAATGACTGTGCTCCCTACCACGTCCTACCAACCAGCATCCAAGCAACCATTAACAGGTGGGGGGGAAGCAAGTTCTGCCCTTTACTACACAGTGGCCGCACTCTGGACGCCAACTTAGCACTGGTCTTAATTACCTTCAGTTTCTTTTAGGGATGCACCAAAATTGAATTTGTAGACTGAAACCGCAAAATAAAAATAGTTTAGGCCGAAAATGAAAATGACCTTTTTTTTCCCCAACCTTTTTACATTTATTTTAATTATTTGTAATTATTTATTTGTAATTATAAGGTTGTCCCTTATTACAAGACATTAAAAAACATGCAGTGGACGACATATGGAAATCAACCACCTAATATCATGCTATAGGCAGGTTCAATGTCCAGGCTGCACTCTTTGAGTTAGGCTGAACTGAGGATGTCATGGTGTTAGATGCACTGTTCCAACCAATGGATGCAGTAAATGACTTCTCTACAAATATGTGCAAAGTTGTACAGCAGCTCAGTTTTGGTTAATGAAATACTGACACCTGAAATTTAGGGCAAGTACAAGATGTTTTACAGCATATCAAAATACTACAGATAGGTAAACAATTAGGCAACAAAGAGGAAAGGTCTAAATGTGATGCTGCCGAATATTTCCTTCTATTTAAAAAATACATGTATTCAACAGACAACACATAGTTGCATATTATGACAATCCACTGTGTATGGTGTCATATATACTATAGAAGTATGGAATCATCAATGAATATTTTATCATATTACAGTCAAGAAATAAAGTACAACATGTATAGATATTAAGGAATGTGCAAAGGCATTATAGTACAACCACATAAACTGAAATAAGTATAGGAATGAACATACACTCCACATTCTCTCCAAGTAAATCTGACTGCTTCATATGTATTTTGATATACCATAAACAAAGGAAATATTGTATCTAAAGTAAATATTTAAAATACAGTGGAGTGGATCTATCTATATAACTCACTGCTAATCTCAAGCAAACCTCAGAGCATACAAAAATCATATTTTTTTTACTGCTCTGGATGTATTTCTTGATCCACTGGGCTATCAGAAGCTCTCCATCTGAAATGTTTCATTCACCCAGCAGGTTCCTCTTGGCTACTTTCTACAGCATAAACTGACATTCCAACATATGCATTAACTAAATTCCAGGTAGGAATTAAAGCAACATAAGCTGGTTATTGGGTTGTTTTATGCCATGGGTAGAACGTAGCATTACATCTGCATCATTAGCATTTTACAGAAGCATTACATAACCACACAGCATACAATGGAAGATGATGTACAATCTATAATCCACTGCAAAGAGCAATAACCAATAGCATCCAACTTCTTCAGGAGCATGAAGAAGGATAGCTAAATTTTATTGCGCTTCATGTTGGCCGTGTTCTGCTGATCCGGTGGAAGTTTGTGCAAACCATGGATCTCTGGTAACACAGCCTTATCTGTGTGACTAAAGCCCATCTCTGGATAAAAAATAAAATTCCTTTGCAGTGATGCTACCTCTGCACTGCAAGGGTTAACTGCTTGTTTTTGTCTAGGGCAGGGGTCTCAAACTCAATTCACTTAGGGGCCACTGGACACATTTTCTTCTCCCATGGGGGCCGCTTGCCAAATAAAAACAAATTCTCACTTCAAAATAAAATGTAACTATATACAGTGATGTTGGTATGTGTGTTAATGTTTCTGTGTGTGTCATATCATTATGTATTAGGGATACACTGATACTGATACTAATATCGGTATCGGTGCCGATACCGAGTATTTGGGCGAGTGCCTGTACTCGCCCAAATACTCCCGATACTTATTCCGATACCGGAACTTTCGCTATCAGGAAGCCGGGTGGTCAATCATTACAGGCCACCGGCTTCCTGACTGGCCGGGAACCTGGCTCCATGCTCCCTCATCACCAGTGAGCATGGAGTCGGCTTGGCTGCCAATCAGGAAGCTGGGGGGGCGGGTAATGACTTGCTCCATGGCTTCGATTGACTAGGTAGCTGGCTCCATGCTCCCCCGTCACTTGGTGACAAGAGAGCATGGAGACGGCCTCAATGCCAATCAGGAAGCCGGACGGTGTGTAATGACTCGCTACCCAGCTTCCTGACTGGTCGAATGGCACCGGTTCGTGAGCCAGAATTGGCCTGCGGGCCGGTACTTTGAGACTCCTGGTCTAGGGGACTCTTTAAAGCAGTTTTTTTAGGGGATCTCTGCTCCCACTGGCTCCAAGACTGGTGCCCGAAGCCTCTTGGCGGTTGGGGCCCAACTGACATCATCAAGTATAATGCAGGAGCCATTAGCCCTGCATTAGACATAAGGACACTGAGGGACAGTCCAAAGTTGGAGTGGAGGAAAGAGGTGAGTGCCAACTGCCAGGGGAGTAGGGATCAGGTAAGTAAAACTGCTTAAATTAATCCCTCTAGACAAACACATTCCAATGCTGCTGCGTAGGAGGAGGGACGCTTCATTGACTGGAGAAGCAGGGAGCAGACTAAATTGTTTATAACTTTTATTTTTTAGCACCTAGACAACAACGAGCAGTTAACCCTTGCAGTGTGAGGTAGCCCCACTGCAAGGGTTAACAAAAGTTTTGAGTTAACTATACATGAAATACAGGTTTCAAAATAAAATGTAAACACTAAAGACAGTACCTGAAAAATGCTGAGAGTCAATAGATTCTCCATTAATGTCACTATAGTCTGCAGCTTTAAAGATTTCAGGGTGGAAGTCTGTAAAACAAGTTTTTTGGAAAAGACACTGTTGTTAGAATAATACAAGTTTGGTTAACAGGTAGATATATTAGACTATAGGATCCACAATATGAAGAACAACAATCTGAGCCACCAAACCAAAGAGAGTTTAGTCTGTTCTATACCAGCCTCATCCATGCTAAGAAATGCTGCATCCCATTTTGAGTATCTGTAGACTAGCAAACAGCAACAAAAAATTTAAAAAATGTCCTGCTTGATAAATAAAATTTAAGTTTTGGGGTCTAATTTACTAGTGCAGTCAGGTTGGGTGAAGTGGGCCTGAAAAGTCATGTGACATGACATGAGCTTATAAATCAGGCCCAGGATTACAGCACTTCACACTTTAGTAAACAAGGCCCCTTGTACCAACACAGTTCTCTTACTGTGATGCTACCTCCCACATCTCTAAAGGGTGCAGAGGTATCATGACAAAATAAAATGTCATTTTAAACCTCGTTTTTGCCACCCTCCATGTTTAAAGTGCACCTGTGCCCAGACTATAGGCATTAGAGTATTTATGTATTCTTAGCTGCATCAGTTTGCCTCCCTTACACCCAGTGACAGACAGGGTTATGCACAAAAGGGTGAAGAGTTTGGAGAAGGCAGGAGAAGTAAACAGTCTAGGCCAGAATAGCTGATTTGGAAAGATTCTCCAATTCAGCTCACTTTCCAGTTCAGCTATTTTGGCCTAGATTGTTCACTTCTCCTGCCTTCTCCAAACTCTTCACCCTTTTGTGAACAACCCTGAGAGTTTTTTTTACAACACATTGATAAGACTATTTACATCCTTCTGTTTTCTTTAACCACCCGCGAACCGGCCACTGCATTAAAAGGGCCGGTCCACTGGTGCATTGTTCGTGTATGTCCTCCCAAAAACGCGCGTGTGTGTAGCTGGTGCTCATTAGAAAGCGGAGAACAGTGGCTGTAGACACATTACTGATCCGAATATTCGGTGATTGTAGTGATTGGTCAGCACAGCAATCACATGGCAATATTTACATTGTCAAGCCCTCCCCTTCCTCTTACATTGAAGGCTGGGGAGATTAAAGTGAGTTATGAATGGATGAGTCATCCATTTATTACTTCAGACATCCCAACCTGCAAAACCTTATTTCAGGGAGGTGCCCGTCTCATTTCAAGGAGGTGCCCTTTCTGGGTTTTTTTTTCAGCGGCCGTCGTCAGAATATAAAAGAAATAATAATGATAATTATATATATATATATATATATATATACACACACAGTAAAATAAAATCCATATGCCAATAATACAATAATATTGATTAATACCATAAAATGATGGGGGGAAAAATTATATATATTTATTTATTTATATATACATCAGATTTGTGAATTGATTTGTGAATTGATGTTCAAGTATCTGTCAGTGTAAAGGTCACAATTTATTAGACAGCCCAAGACCTTTTTAAAAAAAAACGCTGAGGAGTAAAGTCCCTGATACACAGCTGACTAGTTGCTATGGGCAGCAAATGAAATAAATGTTCTCTATAACTAGACAACCAGGACATATAATTGATTCTATATTACCCAAAAAGGGTTAAAAGCACTCTCTCAACCCTGGGGCAGTAGATCTCAGTGCCTGTACCTGCTCTCAATAGTAGTCTATGTCCGCCCTCTCTGTGTAGCAAGTAGCGTCTTCCTTCTGAGAGCCAAGCCTCGTTCTGAGGCTACTCTAGAGATCACATGACCTTCCTCCAAGAGGCAAGCCTCACTCTGAAACCGCTGATATCTTACCGGAAAGGTTTACTCGGAGTAAACCTTTCAGGGCGAAATTGCCTCTCTGGCGGACATCAGGGAGCCGCTATCTCTTAGAGGGAGACTCCCTGAACATCAGGGAGACTTGAGATCCCTGCTACTTAGTAGTGAAAACATGCTGCAGTGGCAGCAAAAAAAAAAAAAAAATAAGTCAAATAATTGTAACCCTGCTTATGTTAGATCCATTCTATCTATGCTCTGACCTGTATATTAACAATTTCACCTCACTTATCGTGTACAGCTATACATTAACCCCTTCATCTCCATCCTCCCACTGTATGTAACCGGTACATTAACCCCTTTACCTCTACCTCTCTCTGTCTATGAGCTGTACATTTATTGTATCTTGTGCAGTACCAAGCTCCACGTTTTAACCCCCTTAATACCAGCATGTTTTTTAATTTCCCAAAAATTGCGGCAAAAAATCAGATCACCTTGTAGTGTGTACTTTCCAACAGGGGTCATTTTGGGGGTTTTCATACTGTCCTGACATTTTTATGGCTATGATTTATAAACGAAAGTAAGAGAAATAGGCAGGGCTTGAAAAATCCACTCGTCTGCGACGAGAGGACGGCGGAGCCCGACGAGCAGCTTCCCGGCCGGCCGGGAGCTTAACACAGTCAAGCGATCGAGCGTCTCTAGAGACGCCCGATCGCTTGTATTAGCAGCTGTCACTGCCGTTGCCGGTCCCGAGATCCGCTGTGCCCGATGCAGCCGGGACCGGCACGGCTCTGTGACAGGAGATCAAAGGGAGTTCGGTACACAAGCTCCCTTTGATCTCCTCTCAGTCCCCGAATGCAGGAAATGATGTAGATTACATTACTTCCTGCATTCAGTGTCACTCTCCAGCTACAGAAGCTGATGAAGCAGATCTCTGCCCTAGGTGACATTAGGGGTCTTGGAGACCCCTGATGTCTCCATAAAGAGGACCTGTCATGTAAATTGGCTATTACATAAGGGGCTTCTTAGCCCCCCATGTAATAGCAATAAAGCTATGTGTAAAAAAAAAAGTAATACTAAAATGAAAGAATAAAAATTTTTTTTTCCTTTTTAAATTTTTTTTATGCTTCTTTATTTTTTTAGTCCCCGCCCCCGACATACACACGCAGATATGCGTCGGGTGTGCCTTTGTGCGAAAACGACGATTGCGCCTATTGTGCCTCATAGTCTGGTCATGCTGACATTTTTGACTGACTGGTGAGACACCATCAAATTTTTCAAGCCCTGGAAATAGGCTTCATTCAGTTTTTTTAAATTTTTGGTCTCCTTTACTATATAGTAGGGAAGCACCGATACCGATACTAGTATCGATATCGGTGCCGATACCGAGTATTTGGGCGAGTACTCGCCCAAATGATCCGATGCCTAGCACGAGTACTTCCTGTATCAGGAAGCCGGGCAGCGCGTCATTACACGCTGCCCGGTTTCCTGATTGGCCGGGAAGCGGCTCCATGCTCTCTCATCACTTGTGAAGCAGCGCCCGGCATTCTGATTGGCCGGGAAGCTGACTTCATGCTCCCTCGTCATCAGAGCATGGAGCTGGTCATTCAGGGTTATATACAAAATTATTCTAAAGTTTACTTTATATAGTAAACAGTTTTTTTTAAAAAGCGATTAAATACCACTAAAAGAAAGCTCTATTTGTCCCACAAATGATATAAAATAAATTTTGTTACAGTGTTGCTTGACAGAGAAATTCTCAGCCAAACTTGCACAGTGCTGAAAACTGAAAAATGGCCTGGTAATAAAGGTTGTGTACCTAGGGTTGCCACCTTTTCTTCAAGCGAAACCCAAACACTATATCGACGCGTGGACATTTTTTTTGGGAGAATGAGTCGTGGCTTATTCATATGTAAATAGAGCCACCCATTCATATGAAAATATCACAGTTGAGACTATTTTCATTGGGGGGCCAGTGTCTGGGTTTCTCCTGCCATAAAACCCGGACAGAGCATTCAAAACCCGAACTGTCCAGGTGAATCCTGGACAGGTGGTAACCCTATGTGTACCATGCCGGTACTGAAGTGGTTGAAAGAGTTCTAAAGTTCCAGCGTATACTATCCTGTGAAAACATCAGCATTGTAATAAGAATACATACTAGAGTTATTTTTGATAATGCAATCAAAGCTTTTTTGAAAACAAATCCCTTTTATGTAGTGAATGCTGCCTTCTGTCTGCCCATCACCTTCAACAACTTCATGGATTTGCAGTGTGCTTTGTGTCTCTTTCCCTGCTGCTTGATGTGATGCAATCTCCAATTCTTGAGGCCCAATATGCATTGCTTCAAGCAGCCAAAGATAATGTTACATTGTAAGACGTTTAGATCAGTGGTTCTCAACCTTTCTAGGGCCAGGGAACCCCTTGGTATCATTTGCCAAGTTGTGGTGACCCCCAACTGTAAAATATAGTGATGCACCAATGCTAGTATCTGTGTGGGCTCTCAGGAGGCTATGCGGGCTGTGTGGTGCCCAGTGCGTGTTCTGTGGTGCCCAGTGCGTGTTCTGTGGTGCTCAGTGCGCGCTCTGTGGTGATCAAGCACTCCCCTCACTCCTGCCTGCTCCCCTCTCTCTGATCCTCTCCGGCTGCTGCAGCGCCATCTAGGAGAACTGACACTGCTGCGCTAGGAGGAGGCCGAGGAGCCTCTTACCTAGAGCAGCACAAGGCACATGGGGACCCCCTCAACTGTGGGTTGCGACCCACTTTTGGGTCGCGACCCACAGGTTGAGAGCCACTGGTTTAGATGTTGAGTTGCCGTTCAAAAGGCAGGCTCTGTGAGAGTGGTGGCACAGAAAGTGCATTTTCACAGGGCTGAGTGAAATTGTGTCAGTGCATTGAGGAAGTACCTCCTATGGGCATCTTCAATACGTTCATTTACAAAACATTTAGATTGATATCAGTATTAGGAGTGGGATACAACTTATGGAACTTAAATATAGAAATGCATATTTCGTTTTAGTTTTAGACCATAGGTACTCTTGAACATACATGTCTACAAAAATCATAAAAAACGATTCATTTTAAGCAGATATCCACAGGCAATAAAGCTCATGTTGGTATTGCTACACTGCTATTCATAGTTATCTATACAGTATTTAATAATGGTGATGACTGAGGCTGAGATCAAGAGAGCATTTCTGAAGAGCATGGAGTCACGCTGAGCTAATGAAGACAGCACAAATGTTACCACCCATCCACAACTGCTGG